TAGGGGATTCATTTTGCTACAGAAGCCAGGTAAACCTCAAGAAAACCAAAGGTCCTCATTGGCACAGTTGTTTGTCACAGTCACCTTCACCTTTATGAGCTGTGCTCCTCACTTGAAGAAAATCTCCCCTGGCACAGCTGGGCAAGGATTTCAGTGCCAGCTATTCTCCCCAGCCACTGTGGACCGTGCCAGCACACTGGGAGACACACAGCACGAGCAGCAGTCCAGCTGCCAGCCAGTGAACAGACACGCAGGGCATGGTAGAAGGACAAGAGGTACTGAGCACAGACTGAAATACAGGAAACTTTGTTTAAACACAGAGATAAAAACCTTTTTAACTGTGAGGGAGCGGGTGGTCGGATGCTGGAACAGGTTGACCAGAGAGGAATGTCCATTCTTGGAGATGCTCAAAATCCCCTGGGATATGGCCCTGAGCAGCCTGCTCCAGCTGAGCCTGCTGTGAGCAGAGGACTGGAGCAGATGGTCACCAGAGGTGCCTGCCAACCTCAGCCCTTACTGTGGTTCTGCAAGCTTAGAGATGGTGAGAACACAAGACTTGCCAAAATGTAAGCCAGATTTTTGTTTCCCCACACACAAGAGAATGTGAGTGTCTTACAGGAAAAATTGGTTGAAAATGTTTTCAACTATTTCAAATATTTGTTTTCCAACATACTGTAGAGCTAAATGAAACAAAGGAAACGAGGAGCTGACCCACTGGCTGCACTAGTGAGCTTGAGAAGAATGGAGTAAGCAATAAAACAAGACCGAAGGACTAGGGACAGACAGGGATGCTTGGCTCCACTTCACAACTTCCATGAAAAGGCAGAGATAGTTATGAAGGCATATGCAATAACTACAGAATTACATAAAACTATATCCATGGTATAGCCAAATGACACTCATCAAGCCCTACTCTGAGAAAATAAAGATGGAGAACTCTGCATTGCAGATAAATTCTTATTTTAAAATGGAGGAGTGTGAGGGAGGAAAATAGAAATATGCTAAGCACAGAAAAAGTGAACAGTCTCTGTATAATTGAAAATAAAAATATGTAAAATACTATTTCATTAGTGTTCTCTTTTAAGCTCTAAAAAGAAAAAATATTGTGCTTATCCATGACACAAATACACATGTATATTCACAAAAATACACATGTAGCAATGTATTTCAAAACTACGTTGAACAGTAATGTCTAAAATAAGAATACAGAAGATAATTCTTGGTAATATTCAACACTTAAGAGTTCTTTACATCCACAGAAAGTGCTGTATGACCAGTCACTAATTATGGTAGGTGAAAATATGCTGACTTTGACTCCAACATTATCCTGACTTCAGATTCAATCAGAACTACCATGTCTTGCCAATAATAATTAGCTTTGCTGCTAATTCTTACAGCACAATCTCCAGGCCAGCACAGTGTCTAATCTCTCTGCATGAGCAAGCAAGGGTGTATTTTGATTCTGCAACTTGTTTGTACAATATTAATCATAACTAAGCAAGCTATAACCAACACTGTCAGATGCACCAGTGCGAACAGTAACAGTATGACACAGCAAATGAGAGGCTGACCAGCTTTAATACATTAAAGTATCTTTATATTTGAGGATGTGTGATATTTAAAAACCTTTTTATGAACACTAGCATTTGGGAAGAATGGTTTTCCAGTTTTCCTTAAGGGCGGAACACTGACAAAAAATGAGCCTAGGTTTAGAATTGCTGATGCAAACTGCAATAATATATTCCATCCAAAATGCTTCTGCACTCCTAGAAAATAATTATGACTTCCAGAACCACAGAACCATAATAATAACAACACTAATTATTCCAATGAATCCAAAGCGAACTAAAACTATGCTATTAATTTCATCATAAGTCTAAAATATGCCAATTTGGACTGGATCTCCATTGTACACTCTATAAGCATATTGTTAATCGCTTATATTTCCCATGAAAGATGCAATCACCTGACTTAAAATTTGGTTACAGTATCATGTTTGAAACTCCAGGTTTAGATGGTTGAACAATTATGTCTTTAATTAATCATTATTTGATGGCACAGTAATAACTTCATTCAGCCAACTACATAATACATAGCAATCTTCAAGAATGGATTGAAAACTGCAAAGCATGCCCTGAAATTTTATGGCTTATTAAATCCTCAGGAAACCACATGGCTATGCCCTTCAGCCATTTATTGATCCAGACTGACACATCTGTGTGCCTTGCTCCTGCAACATACCACGCTGGTACTATTACAAACAGCAAATGACTACTAAATTTACAGAACAAGGTATTCTACTGTTCAAGGTATTCTAATATTCTATCTATCAGATATTCTTAGAAGTATTGTTCCACACAGCTTTGAAGACAGTTCTGCATGCATCAAATTGGTCTGTGATTACGGAGGTACCAAACCATTCTGCATAAAGTAGAAAGCTGCTTAACATTATGATCCTTCCAGTCACTGCCCTCACTTATTAAGTGCACATTCTGAAAAAAACTGTTACGGAGTAAGCTCTATAAGGATCTGGCTTGCCACGCAGTTGGGGCTTCTTGGTTTCATGCTGCCAAAGTGAAGTTAGAGACTTAGAATGTACCTGGTGCTTTTTCAATGCCATCCTAGGGTGTCATTGCTTCAGCTGGCACAGAATAGGATGAATCTTGGCTTCACTGAAGTCAACAAAAAACTTCATTGAATCAAGATATCATACAGTTGTGAACAGTTGTTTAAATTATGACTGTCTACCTTCACAGTACTAGCTTATTCCATAGCATTCTTTGGAGTTCTTTCCACAACACATTATGGCAGATAGCTCCAAGTTAAATTTCCCTTCAAGAATAAAGAAACTACAAAAATGCATATTCAGTCTTTATTTTATTAAAACAAGATTTGTTCTGCTGAAGGAATGAATGAATTCATAACTGCAAAACAAACAAACAAGGAACAAAACCTTTGTTTCTGGGCATGCTCAGAGCTATGCTATTACAAATTTTTCTGAAAAACATTATCAGCAATGCTGTAATTCATAGCAGATAAATCATTAAAGGCAAAAAATCTGGGATTTCAGTAACATTAGTGAGACACATTTTACTTTTCCTATCTGTCCCCAAAACACCAACAGCTGAAACACTTCTCTTTCCAGTATCAATTCAGATACTCTGTTCTCAGGCAGAGCTGACCCTAAGAGACAAAGAAAGGAAGACCACTAAAGAAATCAAGAATCATCATGCTGCTCCTGTTTCCCACTATTCAGTGAAGTAAATAAGACTCCTGAGCACAGGAGCACAGGGACCAGCCTGCCCTCTACGCTTCAGATCAGGATACCATCCTCTTCTGTTTACCTGTCACTGATTTACTTCCGAAGAGAATACACTGTCCTGTAATTTAGCTCTTTACAATATTAAAAAATCCAAATACATGACTGAGAAAAAAAATGGAAACAATAAACCTGAAATTAAATGAGCAGAATATACAAAGAAAGAACATCCAGCAATAGCACTGGACAAGTTTGTAATATCGCTGTATCCTTACAAACTCACAATGTGTCAAATGACCAAAGACAGCAGGGACAGAGAAGCAGATAACAGATTACAGCATCAAGCAAAAGTATTGCAAAATACATTACCAACAACAAGAACATGAAAACCACAAAAACACATATTCTCATTTGGGCACAAATTTTGCATGAAACTTAAACACAACTTCAGATTAAGTTATAGTCTCATTATAAACAGAAACGCCTCATTTTATCCAAGTCCCAGAGAGGAGTACTTTCATAATACAATTACAACAACACTGGATGCAAACTTGTCAGAAAGAACAAGAAAGCAAAAAATCCTATCAGAAAATTAACTGAAGAACTGCTTGGTGCAAGTGTAAGACGTTTAAAGTTTTGGGGGCTTGCTATTCCACGTTTGGTTAGCACCTAGCACAGTACGACTCTGGCTCACACTCGTGGTTCACAACACTAGTGAATAATAACAACCTAGCAATCTTAGATAAGATTGTTTTAAAAGGCTGAATGAGTACTTTGTGTGGAGAGAGAATTTTTTAAAAATACGAAATGTATTAAAACCAAAAAACCTATGAACTTGCAGAAGGTCAAAGTTGCATATGCACTGAAGAAGAAATTAACATTTTTCTCAGCTATTGTAAAATATCCTGGTTCTAACTGCTGTCAGTTAGAATAAAAAAGCATGACTTTATTCCTCTTTAATCCAGTTATCTTTTCTTGCTTCTCTATATTAACACACGCAAACATACTGACAAAACATCTTTGTCCACTAACATTAAAAAAAAGAAAAACGAACCAAACAAAAATCAAAACAAAAAAATCTCACCCCAAACCAAACAACACTTCCATCAGTTTCAGAGAGAAAGTATTTCAGCTCTCAAGTTTGCCCTTTGTGTAGACTTCACAATCATGTTTTGAAGTTTCACGCTGCTAATGAAACAACAAGGTATTCAAATAGGGTAGCAGAATATGTATTATTTATCTAATAGGAAAGTGCTTGTCTATTCCTCAAGACCCCAGAAAACTTCCCTTTTCTCCTTCTTGCACATGATATGGAGTGTCTCCGAAATAATTTATGTTTTGCACATACGTTCATCAATTCTCTTTCCAAAGCAGTTTCTGTATTTACTTCTCCTATCACTGTATCTTTTTTTTCCTAGTAGTCATTGAGCATGCAGAGAAGAGGTTTCTGAACACTCAGAAGTGAGGCACAGAATAACATCCAAACCTACAGTAAACCTTATTTTGACACTGTCAACCATAGAAATTTTTCCAGACTTGTATCCCAAATCTTTTCCTTCTAATAAATTGCTACATTTCATACTTTTTTTCATTTTTCTTTTTTTTTTTTAAGGAAAATATGTAACTACTTACACTTTTATTTAAATATAATACACTTTTATTCTAAAAAACCACCCTGACAAGGGGGTCTATTATTAAAAACAAAACAAAAAAAGGCATTACAGTCTAAAAATATTAGTCATTTTATAGTCCTCAAGATATTTTTATTACTTAAGATTTCAAGGAAAAGTTGTGTACTGGAATAAGACAAACTTAAAATGAATGAGTATGGAGAACAGTATTTTGACTCTACACAAATATCCACTAGTGATTTTAAAGTACAGTGTGCACTAAAACTTATTCACACATAAAACAATTCATGCTCTTCATGTGTAAAATACTGTGAAAAATAAGATGGAAGAAACTGGATAGGAAAACATTCATGTATCATAAAAATATGTCAGAATGGGACTTATCTATAGAGTTAAAGCTTTGCTTTAAAACAAACTTTATTTAAAAATCTTCTTTTGCTTTATCTAAAAATTAGCCTTTCTATAAAAACCATTCCTTTAAAACTTTGCTTTAAAAACATCAGTTTTATATTAGACAAAATATTAAATTATACAGGCACAATTAGTTAAGAGGGCTATAAGAACTTACATTATAACCCTTCATTTTCCAGTGACTTGCAATACAGTCATAAGATTCTGTGTCTACTGACAACCATAGGAAAATTCATCCATAGAAATAAACTTTTATTTAAAAAATAAAATAAATTAAACCAAAACAAATAAATCTGTCAGACCATATTTGACTTGTAAAGGAACTTTCCAGCTGACACATGTACATCTTCTATTTAACTTGGGAAATATGCATATACATTAAAAATATCCCAAAAATATTCTTTGAACATGTGGTTTATGATGACAGCTTTTACATTTCCTTCACATACTGTATATTAAAATAAACCATTTCCAAGTCCACCTTTATCTCAGTCCAAATCAGTGATCCTTGACACTTCAGAAAAAGAATTAAGAATAGTTTTGTTTTCTGAGGGGAAAATGCACATACGCTATGTTCACTGGCAGAAACAGCAGTCTGAGTTTTTCCATGTTTTTTGCATGTTCTGAAAAACATACTGTACCACTACAGAATATACAAAGACCTCTAAAGTAAAATAGATTATATAATATACCAAATGGAAGATCTAAAAACCAAAGTCCTGATTGTGATGATGCTTAATTACGTGCTTAACTTACTACAAATCAGCAATTAATCTTGGGTTTTAGAGCAAAGAGACACCCGCAAGACTGGGGGTTNTTAAATAAGCTATTATAACAACTATTAAAAAAAAGAAAAAAACTAAACCAAAATACCATGGGGATTTTTTTGCCATAAAACCATACTGGTTGGAGCATCAGTGGCCAAGCATGAATCTCTATGGAACATAATATTAATTCACCTAAATATTTTAAAAAAATATTTGAACTCTAATACATTTACGTGGATGATACTTTAGGTTTATTTAAATATTTGTTTGCATTATTACTTTTCCATTCCCCCCACTAAGGAATGTGAAATTCACCCATAAACTTTATCAATAAGCTACTAAAAAACAAACAAAAAAACCCCAAATCTAAGCCTATATATCTTTTGGAATTTGAAATTTCACTTTAGCCACCACCATTTGAACAGTTCCCTAAAGAGACATATTTCCTTACCAACATGGTCCATTATTGCTTGATGAGAGCCCACAGTGACTTTTTGTTCAAAACAACTGCTTTGGACATGGTTTCAGGAAAAAAGTCAATACAAAAACGTGTAAAATTACATTTCATTTCAAGAAAGCACTGAATTGATCTGAATTGTATCATACTGTATTAATTTCAATGCCATTCCACAGGCAAGTATATATTACGTGTTGAAGAAGGTGCGCATATACACAAACACAAAATACATACACGGAATTCAGCCCAAATTGATGTATCTTCATTTAATTTCTAGCATAACAACCAAGTCATTTTTTGCACTTTAGAATTATGTGAAGAAATTAAATTAGGCACAGTTAATTAACACAGCTTCTAAATTACCTTATTATAGTGCACTGTCACGCACTGATAATACCATAAAACCAATATGATACTATTCAAGGTCATTTTGCTGATGTACAGGTGAAGTCTAGTAAACAGGATTCTAAGTGCTTTTAACTCAAATCTACAACTTCTGCAGCTTTACACAGTAGAACAGTGCAATACATTATGTCCCCACATTCCAGGAACAAGAGCCGAGTTTACAGTTGTGTTTGTTTCACATTAGACTGGCTTTGCACTTTCTGGAGCTCTAGCACTTCAACTGCGTTGTCCACGACCTCCTTTTTTCCCCCTTTCCTTTTTCCAGGTGCTGGCTATGAAAAAAGAAAAAAAAAAAGTTCTTTTGGTAGCTAGCTCTCACCTGGCAGAACAAGACAGTTTCGAAGTAATGGTCCAGCAGTTGTTCTTCGAGAGGGTCGGTTCACAGTGCTAGGATGACCCTTATCTCCACTTACTCCCCAGTTCCTGACTTTGGAGGAAGCTCGCTCTGGTTTCTTGGGAAAAGATTCTGATGTGACTTTCTGCCTCTTTTCAGGAATCCCTGTTACAACTGTTGAGCTCAGAAAGGCCCTTTTTGGTTTACTCCTCACCTTTAATTTTTTAGCATCAGGCTTTTCTTTCTTAGGGTGCTTTCCCACTGTAGTCTTCCTTGTCTGGCACCTATGGATGGAGAAAGCAGATTTCTGGGCACGAGGATGAAGTTGTCTTCTCAACCCCTCTTTTTGCTGTTTTTTAGTTCGGGAAGTCTGTTTGCCTGCGGCTACTCTGTTTCCTCTCCTCCCAACAGTACGTGTGACAGACTTAGATCCTGAAGCCTTTCTGGAAAAAACTGGTTCTTTATTAGTGCCTTCTTTTCTCTTCCATATTGCCTTTGGATTCTCCCTCTCTAACCACTCACTCCTGATGGAGGTCAGAGGAGTTTTGGTAATTCTATTAAACGGAATTAATCTACAATCTCCTTCTACCACAGAGTTCAAAGGTGAAATGATCAAGTGTTTAAAAGAGTTCTCAGAGTGACTAGACACAAGACAATCTGTTCTTTCTGTGGAAACAGAAGATCCATCTGCCTTTTGACTTGAGGCTGCATCATTCCCTTTATCTGGATCTGTCAGGAAAGATGCTGAAGATGAACTATAGTAGTCTGACCAATTGAGTGACTTTGATGGTGTGGTTTCTCTCTGTGCATCCGCTAGTTTTTTCATGTTTGCATCAAAGCTGAGGCTTCTGAAAAGCTGTCGAACGTGGGAGGGCTTTTTGGCCTTTTCTCCAACTGTATTCTTGGGAGGTGTTTTCAGAATTCGATTTGTCATTGGGTCATAATACTTGAAAGAACACTGTTTGTATTTATACCTTACAGAGTCCTTGCTATCTGCGGAGTTTCGGTTTTTCCTCATTTTGGAAGTATCTACAGGTTTACCTTTACACTGTTTTACCTCTGGGCATGAGAGTACATACACCACTGTCTTGGGCTGTACAGGACTCATAATCTTGCTGTAGGACTCTGGAAGTTTAAGGGCACATAGTCTAGTTTTCATGTTTGGAGTTTTTTCATTCTCCAACCACGTGACGCTTGCTTTCTGATCAGCTGGATCAGATTCTCTTCTAGACATTTTCCTTTTTGCTACGGGGTAGTTCAATAGACTTGTTTGGGTGCCGTGGCTGACTTTAACCACCTGGCATCTTGAAGCCAGGCGCCATGTCCTTTTCCTAGGCATTTTAAGTATTTGTGGTTTGCATAGTGTATCTGAGGCTAAAGATGGGTTATCAAAATCAGAGCCACCACTTAAAGCATCATTAAATTCTGGCAATGCTTTAACTGATGCACTTTCTGTTCTGTTACCCTCAATAACATTGATCCTTTTTTCATCCTTCTGCTTTTTTTTCTTCATTCTCTTCCCTGTACAGTTGGCTGACGATTCACTGTCAAAGTAGCAGCGAAAACGACCCTCCTTGAAATCGCGCACAAGTTCTTCAATTTTTATATCATCTTCATACATTATTTGAGACCAAGTCTTTCCCACAAAAGAAGGAGGCACATGAGGCAGAGCTGGAAGAACTGGTTCTTCAGTATGAACTATGACATCCTGTTTCACTGCTTCTGTCTTCTCTACTGACTCAGTTTTTAAGACAGAGCAGAGCTGTGTTCCGTAGTCTTTATCTTGCAAACTTACTTGGACCTCTTTTAGGAATTCTATATCTTTTATAGCTGCCTTAGGTAAGTCCGTTCCTGCCTGTATTGGTGCATCACAGTCAAAACTCATTTCAGAGCCCTCTAAATTAGTATGGTCCAGAAGTGATGAAAAAGTTAAACAGGGATTATTCTCTTCTGTGATATAAATTTCTTCAGATGCAGTTTCATGGCAGTATTTCAAAATTACATCTTCAATAGTTTCATCCACTGAACTTCCATCATCTCTGTTTGTCTTCACGTTTTTGCATCTTGCTAATTGTGGGGATGTCCCAAGATCTAAGGAGCTGCTGATACCCACAGTATCCCTGAGATGGAGATCAGACACCAAAGTTTCATCCTGAGTTCGTAAACTATCTCGCTTTGAGAGAGATTGACCTGAGGTAATAAATAAAGAATTGCTGTGGCTGCATGTAGGATTCTGATGAGAAACTGAAGGGCGTTTTGGGTGAGCCAGTGCTGGAGCAGGATTCAAGCATGGGTTCAATAACACATCACTACTGGAGGCCTTCGTTGCCCTTTCATCACACCCACTACGGAGAAACAGATTTGATGCTGCCAAATCCCTAACATTTTTTCCTGTTTTAGAATTAACAGAAGAACTGTGGATTATAGGACTGATGGAAAATTGCTGAGGTACAGGGCTCACAGCTGTAAACTGACCTTCATGGCTATGATTTGCATTTTTCAGAGTAACCCATTTCTTATCGCTACAGATGCCAATAGACTGCTGGGATATTCCTGGAACATGCTCCTGGCCTCTTTCTCGTTTTTGAAAAACTGCTTGTGTTACAAAAGTTTTCTTTGTGCCCTCATGAGACAGGCATGGAGCAGAAGAGTGTATTTCACCAATGGACTCCTTGTCTTTGCTGGAAATCTCCTGTGTGTCACTGTTTCTCTTTTTCTGCATCTCTGTTGGGGACAGGCAAGAAATCCTAGGAGCCTCCAGAGTGATGGGGAGTGGCATGTCATCGTATGTTGGTCTAAAAGGGAGGGAGGGAAAAAAAAAAAATCAGCCTATATAAATACTGTAAATATACTTAAGATTTTTCAAACAATAGCAGTGTATGGAGGGTTTAAGAGTAATTACCTAGAGTGCATCACTTCTAACAAACAAACTCAAATTACCAGCTCTGCTACATTAGCAGAGATCGTGAATTTTAAAAAAATATGGAGAGGGAAGGGGGAATGTTCCACAAAGCTCATTTGACATTAGTCTGTTACCCTCTTCATGACGCCATCAATTAAGAATGGCCAAAAATAGATTACAATAATTTTATAAATACAGCAAAGGAAGAAAAGGTAAAGGTATTTCCTTTGGTTGAAGTTGTAGACTATAAAGAGGTTACTTCACTGGTCATCCTATCATTAACTAAAATTGAGAAATTGAAAAAATTCTTTTGTAGAGAAATGGAACATAGTAATACAACACAGTATAAAACCGCTATTGAGTATAAATGCCCTTTTCCCTACAAAACATGGCTGCCTGATAGGAACCCTGCACATGTTGCCAAGGAATTCCATGTTTACTGTTTCTCTCAGGCATACCACAGCTTCTGACTCACTTCTATAAGAAGCCAAGTTATGATTGTTCAGCCCCACTCTGACAACAGATGTTTACATATTCTGTAACTGGCAGTTCTGTCTTTAGGACTGCCTCGAATGCAAGGGTTTGCATCTTGTAGAATTAACACAACTGACAGATAACGACTATTTCTCTTATGCAGTACAGGAACCCACAGGGCTTCGTTATGTAGCAGCTGGGCAAATCCAATTAAAATAATTTTAAAAATACGTAAACATAACCAAAGAAAAGAATATTATGTTTCATTTGAAAGTTATAACGAGACTTTGTGAGACACAAATGGATGCTTATTTTAATAAATGGCAGACATCAGCTAACAGAAATATCATGAATAAATTTCATTGCACAGGAATTTCCTTAGTTATATAACTCAGAGTACATACAGCTCAGGGTTATAGGACTGATTGAGCAAGAGAAACTTCATATAATGAAACAGTAAAAAGAGGATTATTTCTATTACTATATAAATGCAAAGTAATCAAATACATTAGATGATCAAACAATGCCTGCCAACTGAACTGCTGTGCCCTACTGCTGCATGAATTCTTGGCCACCTAAGTTCTGAAACAGGACCTAAGGGGAAGGCCAAAGGCAGTAAAAATAATTCTTTAACTTTCTCACTTAAAAGTTCTTCCATCTTTGTGTGAAACACCTGGCATCTGGACACTCCTGAAAGACTCAATATAGGACTAAATGGATTTTGATATAAATAAAATATAACAAATGTATAGGTTTATAGCTCAGTTAACAACCTACATCCACTTTTCAAAAATAACTTATAAGCAAATGTCTCTGGGGCAGAGGAAACAGAACTACAGTTTTATACAGTTAGGTACTTCTGATAGTTTTGCTACAAATTATCCCCAAAGGCAGAGGGAAGATTTACTCTCTTAAATGCTCAGTATTATTTCTTTGTGTAAAAAACTTACACACCAAGAGTTTGGAGGAAGGAATGATTTGGAAGTTTGTGTGTATCTGGTTTTGGTTTGGTTTGTTTTTATTACTAGGGAAGGGACAGAACAACAACATCCTTTGAAATTCAGTATAAGGCAAAGCTCTGATGAATTTTTCCACATAACTACTAGGTATACTGGTTCTGCAAAACAAATCAAGACTCAGAAATATTTCCATAATCTTTAAAATGACACTCTAAAGATCCCTTGTGTGAATTCAGCTAAATAGTAAAAACAGTTATTTAAAGAACTGAGTGTAAACTGTACAATAATCCAAGAGTTTTAATGTGAAAGAAGAGAATCCAATTCTTACCTCAGATATCAGTTAAGACCATGACTTTTTTTTCAGAGCAGGACCACAACATAAATTTATTCCTCGCTTTTCCATCTTTGCTTTTCTTCCTCCAAACTCTGTCTAGATTTGGGATTACTCTTCCCTCTTCTTCCTCCAACTTCATCTAGATTTTGTACATTATTTTTCTCATTCCATTCCTTCTTCCAACAACTTAGAGGAACATGGGTAGCTTGTTTTTCCTAGTTAGTAGGTTTCATTCACCAAAGGAATAACCTTGTATTAGTGACACCTCAAGAGAGGGCTTTTTTCATTTGGATGTTGCCTTAAAGCGAATCTTATATTTTCTCCATGGCAAAAAATTGTGGATGTTCTTAAGAGGTTGGGTTTGAATTTATTTATTGAAGATGGAAGGATTCATTTATTTATCTGTAGTGATGTGTATATGCCCTGAGCTAATTTGGCATAGACATGCATATTAACTTATTTTGTCACATCCCTGATAATATCAATATGACTGCATTCAGACAAAATAACCTTCTATTCTACCTCATTTTTCTAGAATGAGATTTAATTTATTTTCCTTCATCTACAGAGAAAAACCTAACACTTATCACTCTTAAAACATGAACACGATAAATAAAGAGAACACTTTTCAAAATCTGAGCATTAATTAATTGGCCAATTAATGTAATTCAAGTATTAACTGAACACGTGAACTTTCAAAACATACCATAAAATACACTGCTAAACATATATATCAAGCCCAGAATAATAATATTTATAATAAAATATATAAAGCTCAAATTATAAGGATTTGTAAATGCATATGAGATTGTACAGTCTGCCATTACACCTGTTGACCCATATAATCCATCTTTTTTTAGGTCTTCACACTTAAATGCTATCAGTGGTGTTGTCTCAAATCCTTAAGTAGTGAAAAAGTTTAAAAGTGAAGAGACAACACAAAAGCAATACACTTACATGATGTTTATCTAAATACACTTTTTTCTAAATTGTCTTCATTGAAAAAGTTTCACCTCAAATGGGCAAAATTTACTGGTCAGCAGTATAAAAGAAAATCTGTAATACATGCATTTGAACAACATACACTAAAAAAAAAAGCCATCTGTATTATACCTGTTGTCATGGTATCTGTGAGGATGATGCTGTAAAACATCTTGCAGGAAACGCTCCATCAAGCTACTGGTACCTGTGCGATTCCTACAGTATGTGGTAAAATGTCTGTGCTGGGAGCTGAAAACATGCTGGTGAAAGATAAAACAGATGATTACTCTAATACTACTGTAAACACACTGGCCTATTCCAAAAAATTACTTCCCGGGTTAAATCTTTGTTGTGAAAATATTTAAATAAAAAGAAAAGTCTTCAGCCTTTTCTACTTTACAGCCTTGATTAAGAGAGATTTTTAAGCACGCTTAGGGAATCTCAAATAATACTAAAATGTATTGAAACATCTTTCTGAGTTGGAACTTAAATTAACGGTTCTGATAGGTGCTGACAAATCTCTTGTAAGTAGTACAAATGCTCTCACAAATCTCACAGCTGCTCACAGGTCTTTTAACTAGAACAAATACACTAAATGTTTCTATAAATGACTTAAAATATTCCTGAACTTCATATGAGTAAACATTCTATAATTCACTCTAATTAACAAGGATTTTCATAAGTGTAGAAGATTAAATAGGCTTCTACTTTCTAATAAAAAAATCTAAAAGACAGGAGACTGATAGAGCTAAAGAACAGAAAACAGCTGATCAAATGTCTTCAGCCTTGATATCAAACATAATACTATAACCTTAATAATTTACAATACATACAGAACTCAAGACTAAAGACACAGAAATAAATGTAATGGATGCAATGCACAGCAGTGCACCGCTTCAGAAAAGAAGACTGCAGCAGCCATGCCACTTCACCGGCACCTTTTTAACAGGTAATAGACAAGAAGGGTATCTTTTTCTCAGTGCACACATCCTGCAATTCAAATTGCTTATTTTTCACTCAGTATTGGTTATTCAGTGTAGCAGCTGATATTTTAAAAGCTGATAAAGCCTTTTGGTACTCTTTGCTATCTGTTGCTGAATTGTGCAGAAGCCATCTCACCTGTTCCAGATTACTGTAGTGTACGTGGCAACAGCTGCAGTACCCTTGTCTATTTTGCACAGTGGATACTCCAGGCCAAGCATGTTCTTGCCCTCTTGCCTGTGAACTGAAAGAAGCGTGCAATATTACCAAGACATGTTGGGTTATTTAACGCATGTCCTTAACATGGAAATTCTAAATATCTATCTTACCACAGCAATGGAACAAACTTGTAAGATGAATGTTTCTATTTCAGAATTGCAGTGATAAGTAGGACCATGTATTTTAAGGTATTCCCAAGCAAATTTGGACAAACTTTTTCTTAAATGCAGAACAAAGGAAAACAGCTTGAAGGCACAGTGGGCTGAAATCTGAGAAGAACTGCCTCTATAGGAAAAGGTAGAGTCATCTTCTCATTCTTCTATTTTTTAGTATTTTGGAAAAAAAAATACCAAAGATGCCTGACACTCACACATTAGTTTTGGGCACTACAGTGTACCTTCCCCATAATTTTTAATAGTGTTTGGTATCAGATACAGAGGACCTCCATCACACACTTATTGTGCCTCACTGTCATCTTTTATACAAGACAACAGATAAGGCTGAAAAGCAGATTCTTCCCAGTTTACCTTGGTAAGCACTAAGCTAGACACCAGTTAGATCATCACCTAACTTACCTGCTACTGCTGTCCTGTCGTAGAGAGCCTTCAGCACCATGTCTTTGGATTCCTACAGAAAAACAAAACCAAAACAACCAAAAAATAAAACAACCAAACACACATACAAAACAAAACACAAAAAGCAACAGAATATCAAAGAAATTGAGACAGTTTACCTGCAACTAGCTACTTCTCTTGCATTGCATTTGTCAAAATTACTATTCTAAAGGAAGGCAAAAAGTTAAGAAAGTTCAAGAATCTTTTTGTTCTCAAAGTCCATCCAAGAGCTTCACTCTTTTGTGGCTGAGTGTGAATTTTTCTACTGATTTGTCTGGGTTCAAGACTAGGCGATCTACATTGGTATTCCTACATCCGTGATCACTGAGATAAAATGTAACATGTCTTAAACAGCTTATAACAGGACAAGACAATTACAGCTACATGGAAACTCTTTGGATGATTCAGGAGTCAGTCCTTCCATCCAAGTTCCGTAATGGAATTCAGGAAATCAAATTATGCAATATAAGGTGATCTAATGCTTATACTGATAATTATTTTTTTTAAGAGTAATTACGTCAAAAACATCTACTTTGAACTTCTTACTCTGTGCTGAAGAAGCAGAAGCTTCATCAGATCGTCTGATTCTGTCAAACATCTGTAAGCAAAAAACAAAAAAAACCCCTAAATTATAATAATAATTAATATTACATCTAACAATGTTACCATTGCTAGCTTTTGCAAGGTTAGCTTTGCTAGAAGGGCCTAACTTCTGATCTAATTAATGAAGTCAAATACTATACTTATGAACACAGCCCAGACTATGATAAGTTATTAAGCAATAACCTTGTCAAATTAATTTAATTACTTAATTGCTTAAGTTGCCTTTACAATTAAGAGATATATGCTAATAAAACCCATACGAGACCTACACCACACAACATACTCATCCAGGCTGGAAAAGCAATCCTTATTGATCGAAAGATCTGCAACTCAAGTTGGAAACTCACAGTTTTTAATTCAAATATGACTGCAGCACCATGTGTTTACATGCTTTAGGGCATCCAAACCCAAAGGGCTTCCGAGTGTCGCACAGTCCCTTCACATTACGGAATGGAAGCACAGAATCTACATACCTTAGACTCACCAGCCTTCTTCATCCACCAAAGCTGACTCCAGACTAGCAAACGATCAATGTTGAACAGGAGGCCATTTGCAGTGCAGGACAGGGGTTTTTTTCATCCCATCTGGCAACAAGGAAGTTAAAGAGCCTTTTAAAACAGAGTTAATAATGCATGTTTTCCATGCCCTAAGGCATGTAAATTTTTCTGTACCACTTTGCAAACATGTCAGTCGATAAGGTGGATAAATCTTTCTGAAGTCTGCAGTACATTCTTCTGTTTAATATGGAAGTTGTTTTGACAGTCTTTACTACATAAATGTTAACCACTCCTTCCGGAATAACTTTGTTCCTTCTTTCTTCCTCACAGCCCCCATGTCTTAAACATTATTGTCATTTTGGATGCTAGCACTCATGAAATAAAGTATACTGCTACAATAACAGAAAACAAATTCCTTAATACTAACCAAACTGCAATGAATCTATTTTGTAGATCATTCATGAACCTGCTCAGAAAAACAATGTCTTATTTTGCTTATGTTACATGAGCTAGTTAGATAGCACATAATATCATAGTAGAATGGGTGTTCAAAGCATTTTATAATTTAATTATTATATATTCAATGAAGTATTATCATTAGCATAACAGATAGGAAAACAGGTTACAGTAACTTGCACAATCACTGTCACTAGCATCATCATATCCTGCTTCAAAACTCAGGGCTTAGCGAGTCCAAGATCTGCTCTTCGCTTACCATTTCTGTAATTATGCGATAACAAAGTTTCAAATCAACCACTTTTACTTTTTATCTTTTATAAACTGTCTTAACAAGACTCATTCCTTCCCTTCTCATTTTTTGTTCTCATATATGCAGAAAAGTTGCTCCTATATGAGGCTGCATACCATCAAGCTTGACAGATGTGTGGTTTGTTACTTGTTTTCTTTAAACTTGTTTTGTTCTTTCCCAGACTACAAACTGCTCATTATAAAAAACCTAGGTTGTTATAGCAGTTATGGTCAGAAGGAATATCACAGTAGCTCAACTTTAAACACATCCCCCCCCAAAATCACAAAACAATCCACACAACCAAAACACCAGACTCATTCTCCTCCCCACAGTGTATCAATTTATGTAATAATATTAAAAAAACAACTAAGCAAGAAACCCCAGCTGTTCTAACAAGCCTTCTCATCAGGCAACTGAGAAAAGCCTTCTTGATAGAACAACTTATCTCAGCCGTCCTGTTATGTGTCCTATACACAGCCAGGATCCAAAAGAAAGTAAAGGAAAAACACAGAAGACTATCTTTCATGAATGATGCTTCATGTAAAATAACTTGTTCTATGTTCTTGAGGTTAACTTATCAATTTTTTAAGTCTTACTGTGCACACATAATCTTATGACAAAGCTAAAAGTGTGGCAAGAGCACAGGAACTAGAGGAGACACAGACAGGGCAGTCAGACAATGGTTCCACAGTCAGAAGCAGCTCCACAACCACTCATCTCCATCCACTGCCCCAAAAGACGATTAAAGCACCTGATATACAAATGTCTGATTTCATCTCAGAGATGCCAGGCAGTGGGAACTGCAGTGTGCTGGAGGATAACTAAGACAGTTCGTTACTTCCTTATTTCAAGGACTAATTTCAATGGTGGTGTTCTTCTGAGAGTTCATTCAAGTGCAAGTACAATGCACATTTAAACTGAGTTAGGAGAAAAGTAACTTTAAACAGGACAGAACTATGAAAATAACTATACTGAACTACTCCAGTCTGGATCTCCTTGTCATCTTTTTACAGTTCAAGGAGATTCAATGGACCAGATTTTCTCACCTGAAGGGAGGTTGTGCTAGGTAAAAGCTGTAAATGCCCAGCTATTGCTTAGTAAGTGACAGAAAAACATCAGAGGAAGATCTTTCAGGGATATTCTCCTCTTGTACAAAGCTGCCAATAGAAGAAAACTTCTTCTCCATATATCAGTTTTTTTTAAGAACACTAGCGTACAGGAAAAAGAAGTAAGTCTGAACTCTATACATAGCTTGCTTACCATCAGAAGTCAAGTTCAAACCAGAGATAGTAATGTGAAGGAAATCTGTTATGTAGATGCCTTATTTAATATGACAAACTCTGGACAGTCTAACTGTAATCCTTACTTTTTCAAAACAGAAACTGCAGCTATAAATTCACAAATGATTTTTCAGATGTTCAGGCAAAGACTGCAAAATTCTACATTAGTTGAGATACTTTCCCCTATAAATATAATGAACTGTTTGGTTAAAAAAGTAAATTATATTTGTTCAAAACTTAGCTTAACCATTTCTTCACCGAAAAAAAAAATCATGTAAATTTGAACAAATGTAGAAACAACTGGATAGACACAGAAGTGTTTGATTTGGTAAATTTCTATCCAGGTTACTTTATCAGCTGTTTCCAACATCAGTGTTTTTCATTCTGGTTTTATTGAATTACACTGCATACAGCAGCCAAAGAATGAAATACCTCAGACAATCACATTTAAAAACAAAAACTCACAAAAATGCAACCAAAAAGCATGAAATGTACACATTAAAAAACTCAAACCAAAACAAAAAAACAAAACCAAAACAAGACAAAAAAAAAAAAAAAAAAGGAAGACAAAAGCAGTGGTTATGACAGTATCTGAGTATCAAAGGCATCAGATAAACTCTCCAGACAGCGTCACTCTTGCAGTGCAACTGGTAAAATAAACAGGGTAAAAAGCCAATCAAAACTGCTCCTCGAAAAACGCCTCACGAAAGCCTGAAACGCCCCTTCACCTGCGAGCGACTGTGCTTGGCAGAGGGAGAACCAGGGTAAAACTCTCCCCTAAACAAAGTGACTTGCCGTCCCACAGCACCACCACAAACAGGGAGGCTGTAACTCATTCCAGGAACGGCCTTTGCCCCACGGCCGCACCGCACTGCACCGGCCCGGGGTCCCGGCCCCGCCGCGCCGTACCCGCCTCGCCTCGCCCCGTGACCCGCCCGGCCGCCGCCAGCGGGGCGGAGCCGCAGGGAGCCCGCGGGGCCGGGCGGTGCGGAGGGGCCGGGGCCGTGCCCGGCCGTGCCCCGCCCGCCGGGACCCGCCGAGCGCTGAGGGGACGCTGAGGCGGACGCGCGCGCGCAGCCCAACCGCTCCATGGGCTGCTCCCGGTCCCTCCCCTCCCGGCGCCGTCTCACCTCCATCATTCCCCGCTAGCTCTTCGGTGCCGCGCTGGGGTCAAGGGACGCCATCCTGTGCTTCCTGCTCCGGGTCGGCGAGCCGCGCCCCGCGAAGGGAATGGCGGGAGCTGCGGGTTCCCGCGCAGCCGCTCCCTGCATGGCGGGGGCTCCTCCCGCCCTGGGCGCCCGGCTCCGCCCGTCGGCGCTCCTGGTGCCGTGCCATGTGTTAGCGAGGCTCACACCGAGCCCAGAAAGCCCCAGTTACTTCAGAACACGGCGGGGCGGCGTCTTTTTGTCAGCCCCAGCTGGGGTGATTCTGGTCGGGAAGTAACCTCTTAGCTAAGTTTCACTTCAACAATTGTAATAGTTGTTTCCTCCTTCAAAATGTATTATTCCATGTGCTTGAGAGCAGGCTGTAGGGTTTACCCTTTTATTTAATTTTCAGCCGTTAAAAGTAGCTTGTTTTTCACAGTGTGCCTTGTTTAGGTAGGCTTTACCAGAAAGTTACAGTCTGACTTCATCAGAGTTAATTATGCTAGATCAGCTTTTCTTATAAGTGGGCTTGAGAATGCGATGTTAGCTCGAGTTCTCTTATTTTCAGCTGTAGGTTTTTGAACGTTTATCTAATCTCCCGTGGGAAACCAGCTATTGCATATTTCTCTCGTTATGCTGAAGCAGCAGGAATTTTTAAGCAATCTGGGCAGACACAAAGTCAACACAACACCCTTATGTGTGAAGACAGGTGCAGATACAGGCTTGGATTGTGCAATGGGGGGAAAACAATCTTGAATGCGCCTTAATATCGAAAATTTAGAGAGGCTCTTCTGTGGTTATGAAACCATAGCTTAGAAATGTCCACCCACGCTCAATTGAACACAAATCTCAAATGACAGATGAGCAGGAGAAGGCTTCTCTTTAGGAGGGCTGAATTTAGTTGCTGTTGAATTCTTTTAATATGTGCAGAGGTATGAATATATCTTTATTGCTCAAAAATTATTATAGGACTAAAGTTGCCTGATGATATGTTGTTGCCTATTATAATACACAACTTGGAAAAACAGCAGCTTTCTGTGGAGAACATTTACATGCATGAAGGCTCAGGCACGTGCCCAAATTATTGCATGTCAGCACAGCTGCATTGTTTAAACATGTGGCAAACATATATAGACATGTTATCTGAGGTTAAAATAGTTTAATTTTATGGTGGTTTACAGTAGGCTTAGTGAGTTACTGTGGCTCGGCTAACCCTTCATAACTTGTTGAAACAAAGTAAGCTTGGTTACATAGCTGAGGCACTGACGTTTCTTTTCCAGAATGACTGATGTAGAACATAAGTCCTTCTTAGCAAAGACAAAGCACTATACAGTCTGTCTTATAATGCCATATAACTTCTCCTCAGAATGTTCCTGAATATTTTGCATTCTATTACATAGAATAATGTAATATTCTATGTCTTGGACTGCCACTCAAAGTTAGCAGATCTTAGGCTTGTGTTGCCAAGTATTTCTTGGCTTTCAGCTCTTTCTGTATTTATGAACTTGAGGTTGCACTGTGATTCAAACTCAGTTAAGATATTGAGAGATACTCCTTTACCTCAGTCTCCTCTTCCCCCCTAGGAAACTACTCCTCACATACGTGCATGAACACTGAGTAGGGCTGACAAACTTCCTTTCCCCTTTAAAAATTATTCTCTCTCCTGGTCTGACTTTTCTCACACTATTTTCTCTTTGGTGGTATCTTTAGTTATCTATTGAGTTTCTATAAACTGCCCCATATACCTTTCACTGCTTTGCTTTCTACTTCCACTTTGATTTGTTATGTTTTTCACTTCCATTAGCCAAATATAAGTCAAAGGTGTACCTGTTAAAACATTAAGACAAATTGACAAATGCAGACAACAGCTATTTTCCTCAAGAGTCTCAAATTTCTTCCAGCATCTGAGTTCAGATTGGAAAGGGAGAATGTGATGAAAGAAAATCAAGGTTGGTAAAACTGGCTGGCAGGAAACTCTTGGCTAGATTTTTAGTTTGTTGCATATGTACTTTTTACATTGTGATGTTATAAGCCTAATTTATCCTTATATTGTTGTTTTGGTAAAGTTCTTCAGAGGGTTTGAGCTAAGTGTTGACTGACAGCAGTTGAGGTCTGGGGTTTGACCCATGCAGAGATTACTTTTGCCAAATGTTCACAAAAATGGGTTTTTAATTCTAGCCTGGATTCTAACAAGCACTGCAACTTTCAAGGCAGTCTGAGTACCTGTGTAGATTTTAGAGAACTTCACATTCTGAGTAACCTTGTGGAAGAAGGATCTTTTCAAATTTATAGTAGAATGAATGTTCCATAATGCCTGGCACTATATTAAAACCTTTAATTACTGTGAAGTAATTGTTGTCCTTCTCTGAAAAATTTGATGCTGGCCGCTGCCTGATATCAGATACCAGACTAATAGAGCAATTATCTGATCCTCTATGGTATTTCAATTTTCCTCTTTAGTATAAATTCTGTGATTATTAAATAAAGGTTTTCAAAGTAAAGGAAAATAATTCCTCACCTGTGAAAAAAGGCAAGGATAACCTCTTCTCAAAAGAAAGCTTCTTGTTTTCTTTTCTCTGCTTTACTCAAACTGTTTGCTGGGTTTGGCAGACTGCTATTACACGTTGATTTTTCTCTATTAAAAGCACTTTTCTCATTTTTAAATGAAAACCGTGTTTTTTAAAAATAATACTGGTCTTTTATTTACTTTGGTATGGCACTGGAATTAAATGCAAACCAAAAAGACAAACAATTCTTAAAATTCTTTTTTTTTTTAAAGACAGTCCTATCTTACAAGAAGACAATCTTATTATGGGCATTCTGCTCATATTGTCATTATTTAAACTGAACTTTTGTTTTGTACTCACAGTTTTTTTAATTTTATTATAAGAGCTTTACCTGAGTTAATAATAAAAACATCCTCAATATGCGGGATATTAGCTTAACCCCCAAACTTAAAGGATAATCTAAAAGTTGTTCTTTCTATTTTTCATTCTCTTGCCAGAACTACCTTTTAAGATTAAAAATTGACAACTTAAATTTTCATTTTAATTGCTTAATCATTTAATCAACCAAAAAGTTGTGTTATAATTGAAAGAAAGAAGTTTCAAATATCTTTTAGAACTGAGAGGGTTTTAAAAAGCACTTTTGAAATATGTGGACCAAGAATTGTCTCCAAAGAATATTATTTTACTTTCTTATAATTGGATCTTAAATTTTTAAAAGGTTACTGGAAGCACTTCACAGTGTGACGCTTTTTGCAATATCTTATTAGAAGCAAATCTTCACCTTGTCTATTTTTTACTCTTCTTCGGAGGCCATGCTGCTGTTTTCACAGGCTTATGTTGTCAGAATTTGTGGGATTTACACATTTCTTTTTCACTAAAATTCCTCTCTATATTATATTTCTGTATACATGTACTTTGGAGAATACAGAGATTTTTATTATAATAGTGCTGGGCAAAATTCTGGGATACGCTGATCCCAGAGTGGTTTATTATTCAGGGTGTTTTATTAATTGCTGTTAGAGCTGCTGTTGCTGTTCATTTGCTGGCAGGTCATCCAGAAGGAACAGCTGATGAGACAACTCTAAGTGTGTCACTTTGAACAGTGTGTCTGCAAAATTTATCCAAATCCAGTCTTTTCAGAAAGTTTCTGCATTATGAGCTACTAATGATCTTACATTAGATTTCAAATTCATACCTTGGCATTACTGCAATTGTTTTGAATCTCTCCATTACCTTAAATCAACATGTTTTTAGGACTTTCTGTTCCAAAAGAAAATGTAAAGAAATTAAATCAGCAGCTGAGAAGTTTGAATGCTGAAAGAACATTCTGCTCTTAGAGAACGTCTTTCATCATAAAAGGCTGAATAGTTTACTGTTACATTCACAGTAATTTCTGTTTTCAGTTAATGATTGTTCAGTCACTTCATCTCTCTGAAATAACTCTCCCTATTTTTTTAGGGAAATGACACAAAGAAAGGTCAGAAAGTGGGTTTGCAGTAGCCTATACGTCACTGCTCATGAATTGCAGGATATTCTTTGACCTTCGTGTTGTGCATGGAGTTTTTTATAGCTTCAAAAATAACAATTCCTTAGAATTTCTCTATTCTATTTTGCTATTGTTTCATACTTCTTTTCAAAAATAACACTGATTTTAAATTTGTCTGGTTGATGTAGTCAGTTTGGCCTCTGAGAATTGCAAAGTTTTCATGTAGAATTGTTCATTACCAAATTACTTGGAAATATACAATAATTTCTGATATGTACGTACTGGAAGATACAGTGGAGAGTTGTAAAATTACTCCATTTTCCCATGCCGAAGGGAACTCTGCAACCTGAGAGCCTTCAACTCTGAAGGGAACAGAAAGACCAAGAGGTTCTTGTGTTAACCACAGTCAGATGCCATGACTGAAATACACTTACACTCAGAACAGAATTAGTTTCATCTGCATGGCACAGTGTTTTCATTAGCGTGTTTTAAACCATCCTTCGTTTCATTATTATAGATAAGGTACAAAAGGAATGTGGGTTTTTTAATCAGATGCTAATGTGAGAGTCTTGAAGTATTTTAAATAGGTATGATAGATGACTAATACTCCCTTCTAGCCTACCTCATATTCTTTTATAGTAGGAACTCCAAAGCATTTTTGCAAAGGTAAGTATGAATTTCCATTAGTAAAGCAGAGAATAAGGTCTTTCTGATACAAAGAGATAATTTTCTCAAAGCTTCTTGGAGGGTTATTAATTCTGTTTTTCAAGAATTTTCACACTCCCAGGAGTTCTGAACCTGCTTTGACCCCTCAGAATATTCTGAATTAAATGTTCATATCCATCCATTTAAATGAAACTTTTTTGATTTTAAATAGACAGAAATCAATTTAAGATGATCATGAATGTATAATACTGCTGCAGCTTCCTTGTCTGTAGTGTAATTTATAGGAGTTAGGGAGTTCCATCTATATATACTATTATGTTGAGTCACTGCGTGTTCTGCAGGCAGTTTAAGGTGGGGTCAAAATGTATTCCCAAGGCAGTTAAGTGTTATTTTCCTCTGCACTGGCTGTTCTAAATCATGTTAAATTTTTTTAATGTTCCCACACTAAACCGTGTAAGGTATTTTCTTACATCTGAGAGCAAGCAGACTCTCTACTTTGCTTTACTCTGGGAATAATTTAAAGACAGATTTCTTTATCCTATTCAGGAAAAAAGAAGAAAGTTAAACAAGAGTTCTGTGGTTTTCTTCCCAGGGACAAAACTTAATTTTAGGCTAGGAATGCTGATAAGCAAAAACATCAGCCTTTGAAAGAACATCTTTCTCTCATAGTTTGAAAATGTAGAGTTTTTCATGGAAAAATTTGAAAAGAGAGAAAAAGAACTTTTTGTGTTTCTTCAGCATTTCACACACTATTACTTTCAGTCAGAGTTTAGCCTCTTTTTTTCTCGTCCATCAGCAAACCAGAAGCCTAGTCCATGTTGTGAGATTGTCTGTGTTTCTAATACTGAAGTAATCCAAGTTCAACTTCTCATTTGCACCCAAGTTACATACAATTAGTGTAATTCCCCTTTGCCTAGTTTTTCTTCCTGCAATGAAGAAGTAGCTGTTCCCTTCTACACGAGCTCCCCTCTCTTGTCTTGAAAGAAGGGACCCTTAAGTATCCTTTACATAAAATGCTAGTTCTAGTCTCTACATTCATGTAAATTCCATATTGAAGTTCCTGCCAACTGCTGAATTTGGGTCACATAGTCTTCTCCAAAAAAATAAATTGCAAAGTAAGAAGGATTTAAAATTAACCTCTGTGTGTCTTGATGGAGCTTAAGGATTAGAACTAGAATGGACAAATAAATATTGGAGGAATTAGCTGTTTCTTTGCTTAGGCTGGTTTCCTATGCCTCGTCCTCTGAGCCCACTGCCCATTTATTAGAGATGGTGCTAGTTTTGCTTTCATTGAAGGCAATGGAGGAGATAAGATTGACTTGTACGCTGAGCCCTTAACTAGCAAAGTGGTTTTCAGAGCTTCTAATAATTTGCTTTGCACCTCTCACAAGCAGCAGGTTTTATTGGGATTTATCATCTTCTGTCTCGTTAGAGGCTGAGGGCTGGGTAGGGTTTAGAAGCAAAACTGTGTTCTCTCTTTTCCATGTCCATAAATCCTAAGGAATGTCAATGGCTGGTCAGTATGGTAAAGAGTAATCAGCAGGCTCCACGAATCCACATGTGCACAGGTGTTTCTCTTATTTAAGATTTTGAGTAGTAATGCTGCAAAGCAACAACCTCGCTTGATCACATGTGAGTCCTGTATAGGCACCCTGCCTATTAATGTATATATTTCAGGGACCCGTCCCAGATTTTGTACCAACCCTCAGTTTTGCTCTGCATTTTTTGCAGAACTCCTCTTCAGTTTCCTGGTTCGCATTTTGTTAGTGTTTAAGACCAGTTGTGTCTCAGTGAGCACAGTAGCCAAGAGCAATAGTCTAATTGCAGAATAGTGATTGTCTCCTTCATGCAGATCTGCTTGTTTTATGCATTGTTATTAATCTTAACAGTCTTCAAGAACTTAGCTGTGAGTTGTTATTAGATGAATGCAGAATGAGAGACTTAAACACCTCTTGGGTCACAGAGCTGTGTCCATTGTATATAGGACCAAAATGTAATCCTATTTGTACTGTGGATTTGGGTCTTTAATCCAAACACCTATTACATAAAAGATGGATAACTGAATCTCTAGACTTTACACTTTAAATGGAAAATAACTCTGTTGGTTGTAAGAATAGGTGTAAGCAATTGTGCTGGTGACTTGGATCCTGAGTGGGTGGAGGCAGCTAAAATCCTGAAGAGGTGTGGCTCAGGTTTATCTCTGTGCTTTGGGTTTCTTTGAACATAGACTGTGGAGGCTTTGGGCAGATTTTGAGACACCTAACTCAATGCAAAATGCATGATATTAAATTCTGGCTTCACTCCTCAGACCTATCTAGGTAGCTCTGTAGTTCCTGGCAATTTTTGTGAGCTGAAAAAGTGCAAGTTGGTTAATCCCTATATCAGTACTAAAAACATGAAAATACTTTGTGAAATGTGTAGTGAAACAGCTATAATTTGCATAGCCTTATTTTTGTTTCTCTAATCTCTGTAGATCTCTCTGAAATTATTTTTCCAAACGCTGGCATTCCTTCATATGGGAGGAGACAGTACTTCAGCTAAAATGGAAAAATACTGCTGTTGGCTGTTTAGCTATTCAATGACTATAATCTTAATGACATATCAGAAGTTTCATTGTCAAGATACCCTCTGAAAATTCCAGTGATTTCAAGTGTTATCTAAATGGCAGGTATAATCTCTTATTTTATTGTCATATGAATATAGCATTTAAATAGCTGTGGTCTGAAAGTTATGTAGAAAATAATTTCTACTTATTAGTGGAAAATCAGAGAAAATGCAAGTATAAAAGGAAAATCGTGGGGGGAAGCCTATTTCTAATAGCATTTTTTCAGAGTATCATTCTTTATAAATATATATATATAATATATATATGTATATAATGCACTAAATTATTGTCTAATATTAATTATTTCACATAATGCAATGCCCTGCTGACTGTATTTTTGCAGGAGTTACATGAAGTGCTGCTGCTTGAACTGGTATGTATATACATACATAAATAGACATACATCAATTCATCTATATGCTTGTGTTTTGACCTGACTAAAGTTATAGATGAAGGATTTTGCCTTCTGAAAAATTGCTGAATTTCTTTGGAGAATTATACATGAAATGTTTCAGATCTTTAATATCAGCATAGAAAGAGGATGTGGACCTGCCTAGATGAGCCAAACCTCCCTTCCTCGCGTGGTTTGTTTGAATGTGTTGCTGGAGAACTTTGTCATAGTTGCTGACTGTGGTATATAGTGGGCAGTTAAGCCATAAGTAAACATTACAGCTTTACCAAAAGGATAGGCATGAATAGCCATTAGTTTCACAGGAAGGGAGGAAATTACCCTTTTCCTGATTGTCAGGTAGTTAAACTCGGTCTTTCCAGAGTGGATTTTAATCGATGAGGTATTCAAACAGTGAGGACAAAGGAACAGTGAAGAACTGCTTTTCTAAAAAAAGGACCGAATTGTAAACAACAGTAAGTAGTTGCTTTCTTGTGTTGTCCAGCTAAAATTAACCTTAAGAAAACAAAATATGTTTGACCTAATTTGCAAATTTATGGTTGGTGCGACTTAATTGAATTAGTGAACATTGAATTTAGCTTGGGGTGTTCAGTTTAGTCTTGGGTGTTCCTTAGTGCTGAGATTAGCTGCACGTACAGATAGGCAACTTGATAAGGTCCCAGCAGTGGGAAAAATTATCAGAATTATCAGGCAATTGTTGGCAATTCAGGTAAATTACAGCTACTTTTGGTTTTTTTATTACTTTTTACTTTGTGTTTTGGTTAATACTGGTAAAGTGTTTCTGAAGGTTTTTCCCCTGTATATTTTTTTTTCCATACATCCTCTGCCTTTGTTTTGTTTTATAGGTTAAAAAGCCCCCAAAGAATCAGAAGTGCTTTTAAAACTAGACTCAGGTTATTCACTGCTGGTCTACCCGATATCTACTATGTGTATGTAAATGTTCTCCTTTTTTCTTTTTTCATCAGGTATAAAGTAGTATTTCTCTGCTTTGCAAGTTCCACGTGCAGTGTGTGTTCATGAATGTATGTCCTTCTTCAGTGCTGCTCTGGCGTATTGCCATACTTAATGTAGACTCAAAATTCCAAGACTCTGATAACTTACCCTGTTGAAAAAGCACAAATGACATGGCAGAATAAAATACAACTTCCAAACAGAAAAAGGAGAAGACGTGAAAGCAAACAAGGTTCATTTTTTTTTAGTTATTTTCTTCCAAGCGTCTAACTTTTACAAAAATATCTGAAAAAATAACACTAAAAAATAAGTTATGTCAATGGTTAATGGGTTGCATTAAAGTTTGTATTAAAAAGCCATGTCATTTGTGCCTCACATTTTCACTTTTTCTGAGCATAGAAGGAACTAAAACAAGGAAAGATTTGGGGTCTAATCTTACATTCTTCAGGGATTTAAGATTCCCACTGTGGTTAGTCAAAACTGTAGGTGACTAAAATGGTGTATTTACTCTAAACAGAAAACAAGCAGAACAAAGTCCTTTCAGATTAAATGTAGTTTTGTCTGTAAAAGTCTGTTCTCTTTTCTTTTTTCCCTCCCAGGTGTGTTACACATGCTGGTTATACTGTGCAAATGGGGTAATTGCTCACCAGAGCAAAAGTCCCTTTCAGTGGAAAAGGAGCAAATGTAGGTAGGATAGAAAAATTATTTTAAATGCAGTAATCTGCTATTCTTGGAAAAAAAATTTCTCATTTCCTATGAAGACTTTCCTCTGTAAAATGTCTTCTGGGCCCTTAGCATTTGGGATTTCATATTTGGTACAGTGGTAAGGAAAGGTGAGGAAAATAGCCATGAGAGGTTTAATCCTCCCTGAGGATAAGCTATCATCACCAGTATATGTTAGAGTAGTCACAAAACTGTTTTAGTTTATGGTGAAGTAAACAGCACCTTAAGGACAGTTCCTCACTACCCCAAACTGCTAGAATCCATTGCATTCTCCAGAAGAAGAGAAGAACATTTGGCATATGTGTGAATCCTTTTCTTGCTGGTTTTTTTTTTCTTTTGTGTATCATGTGAGGGTTATCTACCCAGTAATTTCCTCTTTTGTCCTACTAAAATAGTACTGAGCAAACCCTTGAATTAACTGCCTTACAATAACTGGATTTGGCAAAGTACCTAGAGACATACAGACTCATGTGCCATTACAAGGAAAAAAACCTCAGCAGATCTGCTGTTAAGTGGTGCCTATAGTTACCCTATCCCAATATTTACAAAAGAAGAGAACTACTGTTAAAAGAGATTTTATCAGTGAAGGTTAACCAATCAGACACCTAGAGAAAATAGGAAATCTTTAAAATGCAAGAAATAAACAAGTGAGGTCCTTGAATCTTTCCATGTGCTTTCCTCAGTCAACCCCCTCTGTTCATCTCCTGTCACAGGAATCATGTCCCCCTGTCCTTTTCTCATAGTCCAGGGCCTCTCTGCCTCACCATAACATAATCTCCATCCTCCTTTCATAGAATTAGAGGTTTTCACACTCCTGTTCAAGCTATCAGTGTTTAAAGTTATATTGGCAGAACAGGAAGAGTTGTCATGGAGGAAAAACAAAACAGGTTAGTTTTGCTAAAAAGAGGTTTTGGTTAGTGTTAAGAGAATCTGTGATCTCTGAAATCTGGAAAATTTGGCATTGACTAGATTCAATCAGTGCTGAACATGTTACATGTTTTGCATTAGTGATAGAGAAGTAACACTGTTGGATTATTGCTCCCACTAGAAGATTTGATTTTGGTAAGGGCAGACTGACAGATGCTCAGCTGATTTGAAATGGTATGATAAGTGTGATACCATCAGAGTCGAGTGAATCAATGGTAGGCTGAATCCAGTGGAATAATATTCCCATTTTACTGACTGAGAAACTGAACTACATGGAGATCATAAGGCTTGGCCACAAAAATTCGGCAGGCTCTTTACAGAGTTGGGAACCAACCCAGTCTCCTAAAATCCAGTTCAAATTTCTGACCAGTGTTACACTGTCTGACAAAGAGTCACTAATCAGTGTTTTGAGGAGCTCACTTCTACCTTACCCACAGAAGGAGATTAATCTACTAATCCTAAATACAAAAGGAACATATCATGCCATGCAGTTACAAAACGATGCTTTCAGTGTGACTTTTTAGGCATCTTTCAGCTCATTCAACATTATTTTCTATAAACCAGAGTGCTTACAAAGAAATACTGTTCAGCCTCTTCTCTGCATAACAAAAAGCAGCCCACAACTGTAAGGTCTCTTTCCATTCATCAGTCACCACATCTGTTGCTTGCTTGGACACTGACCAAAATGATTCATTCATATGTCTAACATTTATTTTTGGTGAAATACTGGGATTATACAGAATGGCAGTATTTCAAAAATTGGTCTAGAAAACCAAGGGAAGTTGGAAACAACTTCCTCAGCTGAAAACAAACACTACGTTATATCGTTCTGCAGCTTTATTAGAGGGAAGGCAGTAGCCAAGTGAAGCAGCTGGAATCACACTGAAGTCACTCTGAACTCTGCAGATCATTTCATTCTCCCTTCTGCTACAGAGCTCACGTCCCTGATTTACGGTGCCTTTTGTTTCAAAGAACTAAGAAAGGTGGGTCAATCTCTCTTATATTTAAAATCTTTTTCTCCCTCACTTCTAAATAATGTATTTCTACAGCTACAACAAGACTTGCAAGCAAACTCTGTAAGATGGTGTAGCACATACTGGCCAAAACAGCTTCTTGGAAGAAAGTCTGTGATATTCACATATTTCAAAGATTGTTTTGAATCACCCCAGCAGCCAGAAAAGATATGAAAGTATGCGTGAATTTAATTTTTAATGACTTCTGAATATGTTTATACACACTTCAAGGAGTTTTATCGTGTCAGAGAATGGTAAGTGACCTTGATTTAAATCTCTCTCTCCCCCCCATCTCCCTTAGTATGCAGGTTTTTAGGTTTTTTTATTTGGGTAGAGATAGTATGTCTCCCATAGCTATAGAGATTCCCAGTGTTATTAGAAAAAAGTACACCAGTTCTGCTCTGAACTGATTCTAGAAACTGGAAATCATTTCAACTTAACAAAATAATTCTGAAGAATTACAGTCATGCAGAATTAAATAAGGTTTCTACGATCTCAGCTGGAAAGTGTGTATGTTTTCCCTAATCATTGTGGAAGAAGGTAGGACATGGATCTAGTTCATTAAGTGTATTGGCTCGTTTCCTAGAAGTGGCAAGAAGATCTGAAGCCTTGTATACTACCACACAATGAGACAGGGCTATATTCCACCACTTATTCAGACTTAGTGATAACAGTGTCCTTGTCACCTGTCGCCTTTCTAAATGTGATCTTGCAAAGCCAAACAACATCACAGACCTGTTTTTGTAGACTTACACAACATGTATACATTGAATTATGCCTATGTTCATATGTCTATGAATTAAAACACATCAAAACATTTTTTTTCCTAGCTGAATGAAATGGTATTTCTGAATAATTTTGAATATTCATTATCTCACAGCTAAGGAGAAGAAAGTAAGGGTATATCAGGGTACAGGAATTTGTCGGAGCAGCTTTGTAGAAACTGCTTTCAGGATTAACTTGCTTATGATACCTTACCTTCACTAGCATCATATTATCGTCCTGCTTCAGCTGAATTAGGAAATGCAAATATTTTGATAACCCAATTTACTTTTGTTTAATGTCATTGCAGCTTCTGCCCAAATTTAAAATATTATCAATCACTTATGCCAGGCAAACAGGATAGAGGTCCTACCAAGTTTACTTCAATCCTAGGAATCCCTATATGTGCCATGAGTGACACTACAGTCCACTTCTACTGCACTTAAAATCTCTGAGTGTGGTGCAGTGGAAGTTATTTAAGCCTGGAGAATGAATTTATGGTTTGAATTCTCGAATTGCCTTTGTGGAAAGGGATCATATGTCAGGAAAGCTCTGTATAAGGATTCTTAGGCAGAATCTGATCACAGAGTTTTACTGCTCTGGTGGGGGCAGAAGAAAAGTATTGATCAAAATAATAAATTTCTATGTACTATACATTCTTTTAATTTTACGAATTTTTTTCTCTGCTGACAATCTAATGAGCAGCATCTGAAATGCTTAGATTTGTGTTTAGTTCGGATAGATTGATTAAAGAGGAAATTTATATGTTTCCTAATAAAGCCAGTTGCCTTAAAGAATTTTCCTCTCCTTCTGTTTCTTAACAGACACTTGAAGTTTGTGATCTGTTATTAGATGTTAATTTTGTATTAATAACTCTGCTATTCCAAGCACTAAGCGACAGCTAGGTTTGCAGAGGATTGTAATCTATTGAATGGTCTTATTATTTGCTTATTTATTTATTTTGTCTTGTGGAATGTGCCAGCAGTTCAGCTGTCTCACTGTGGTGGCTGATTGTCTGGCTAATTTGCACTCATTATTTCTGATAATAGTTTGACTTGTGTTCATTCAGTCTAAAGCTAGCAGTTTCACAACACTGCAGGGCTCTGTTGTGGCTGGCTTTGCAAAAGAGAGTTCACTGGAAGGAACAGCTTCTGGTGGCTTGTTACCAGAAGAAAGGGATTGCTGTGACTGTGGTGGGCAGTGACCAACACACATTGGTTTTAGAAGGGAAGGTGCCATAATGCAGAGATGAACTCTCCCACACTTGCTAGGCTCCTGAGACTAAAGAGAAGTTTTGTGTCCTCAAAAGAAACATATAGTTCTTCCAGGGGAGCTCAACTAATTCTGTATTCTTTGTGTCTTCATTATGTTCCAGAGCTTGAGAACCTGAAGACAGGAGCCAAAAACCCTGTATCAGCCCCTGGCTGCTTTTTTCCAGAGAAAATTGCTGCTGGCTTATTGCAGCTGTCTTATACCTGGCCCACCATTTTACTGCATTACAGTTCTTTGGATAAAACTGAACAGACTTGCTGCAGATACAATAATTTTTTATTACTGGGCTCAAAGGGAAGCTAATAAACCCATTACTACAAGTCAGGTTTGTTTGCAAGAGTTAACTGCAAAAGCCAGCACACTAAGTCTCTACTTCTTGGCAGGGACATTAGCTAGCAACAGGTTTGGAGCATTTTCCTATTTCTCTTCCCTACCCAGGCTCTCTTGTCCTTTTTTGATACTTCTTGAAGAATGTATTTCAAGAATCACAAGGCACAAGTATGAAGTACCAGTATCTTTTCCCTGTGTCCACAATAGATACTTCCCTCTTCACTCTTTCAGCAAGGTCTGAATTCTGCCTCCAGCTCTACCTTTGAATCTACTATTTGGCTTTGGGCAAGATATTTCTTCTGTTCCTTCTCATGCTCTTCTTGTCTCTGTTTATTTTGTTTATTTATAAACAAAGCAGGAATTGTCTCTCATTATGTTCTTATAGTGCCTAGATCCAATGAGGCTTTGATCTCGAAGGCTGAGGCCTTTGGGTACTTTCCCCGACATAAAAAACATGCTTTTTCAGCAAGTGTGAGCTTGGCATAGAAGTTTTATTCCCTTCTGAAGCCTTTTAGATGATAGAGGGAAAGGAGTGCGTAGTAAGTCCTGTACCATCAATGTAATATCACTTTCTACACTCCCACTCCTTCTTTCTAATGATCCTCTTTAACGAGCTCAGCCCCCCATCATTTTAATTAGGTGTTTTGAAAATATTAAGAATCACTGCCCATTTAAGAAGCCTGAATAATGTTAACTGAGGGGTTGTGCTATATCTAGCAGAGCCAAGTGAGAAGTGATTTGCAAAGCTAATATGGGAAGCCTGTAAAACCAGTATTTCCAAGCTCCTAATTTGACACCTTAATCATAGGTGCCATCTATTCTTATCAGTGCTAGGGAGTGTTGCCAGTGTCATATTAGGGAGATGAATAAATATCCAGTCCTCCTGATATTAACATTATGAATTTTTTAGTTTTGCAGCAATACAGGCAGTGCTTATTTTAGACTTGATCTTAAAGTAAATGAAATAGTTAGCTTTGTATGAGTAGGAATATTAGAATAACACTCATACAGAAGTAGACACCTTTAATCTACTGTACACAGTGATTCTAGTATATTAACGGTGAGGACATAATAAAGTATGTTATCTAAAACATTTCAGTTGATAAGAAATGTACTAGTGATATTTTGGATGTTCTGATTTATCCATGCAAGAGTAGGTGTCAACAGTAATATAATCACAGCAATATTGCATTCATGAAAGAAGAAACTGCTGATGTGTATTAATGAGGAGTAGAATAAACCTAGGAGAATAGACTTCAATTTGGAGGACAGTACATAACCAAGCATACTTTTATAAATGACTGGGAAATTTAATATTTCTGGAATAGAATAGGATATAAGAAGGCATATTAGAGGACTGAGTTGTGGTGCTAATTTTCTCTGGGGTTAGTTCTAAACTCTTCTTGTTAAAAGGACAGTAAGTGTAGCAAATTGTAAGCTATTTTTTATCTCTTATTTGATAGATATTTTGTATCTTGCTGGAGAGAGTTATTTTATTTTTTTCTGTAATGACTTGCTGTTACTCTGCAGTACCTTTAGGATGGCTGTTGTCTAACATATGTTTAATTGTCCTTTTTCAGTCTGCTGAGACAACGGTTGATAATCTGAAAGAAATATCTGCATACTCTTTATTCTCTACTGTCACTTTGATGCTTTCTGTTAGGAGGGAGTTGTGGTAAAATGTGTGTTTGCTGAAGGAGTACGGCCATGTAAAAAACATGCTCAGAGCTGCCTGATCGTGTAATGGCACATAAATGGTAGTCAAAATCATCTTTCATCACAAATATACGAGACGGTTGCAAAATAAAATTTCCAACTAATTTTTGCTTGAAAACCTTTAAAAGCCATAATTAATTAGAAATGCAAGCATTTCTAATTAATTAGTCAATCTAGTCACTGTGAAGCTGAGGCACTTACGTTTTTTTTAATTGGATATCTCTATTACTCTAGGTATGTAGTTATGATGGTGGCTTATAGCCAAAGAAAATACTGCTGGCATTTGTGGAGGAATAGAAAACACATGATGTCTGCCTGGAACAATACTTCATTAGTGTGCATATCTTACATGCTGAGAACACAGCCAGTATGATATGTGGTGTACCTGCTGGGCTCTGAGAGGTGTGCTTAACAGCTCTGAGGTATGTCCTGGGTCTGCAGAGACAGATTAGTATATGTGACCAGCAAACAGTGGAAATCCAGATTCATTTTCTCTTCAGTGCAGAGGGAAAAGGTCAGAACCTGTAAGGGCTGCCCAGGTAAGTGCTGTCTCCCTCCAACACAATGGGCATGATGGCTCGGGGAGAGCCTCCCTTTAGGGAGGTGAAGCCGTGGTTTCTTCACTTCATCATGAGGGAAGGGACAGTATTAAGTTTAAGAAAGGAGGATAGGACTGTGGTTAAACCACTAGGCAGGGACTCCAGGTTTAGCACTCGGTTTGATCAGAGATTTCCTGTAGGTCACTCTCAGCATTCCTGTCTGTAAACCAGACTGATGATGCTTCTCACTTGAACCTAGTTTCGGTAAGGGTTATGAATACTGAGGGGTTGAGACTGGTTATGTAAATACTTCGGCAGTGCTGACACATACAGTATAAGATGATATTTTAA